CCAGCCGATATACAAGTCAATGCTTTTATCCTTCCAGACGAGTCTGGTACCAATTAATCGACCTCGGAGGATTGCTTGGTTGGCTTAGGCAGATATCGATCCGGGAACCGAACCTGTGACCATGCGTGTGTGAAGTGCGCCACTTGTCTCTACACCACTCCTGCCTCATGACGAAAGTCAACGGATAGTATAGTTTGTTCAACCAGAGGGAAGCACGTAACGACATGATAATAGCCGTACAAAATGGGTTTCGTTATTAAGTTGCATTCTCCGTTTCGAGGTGCGTTCATACTCATTCAGTGCGTCTTGATTGGGCGCGTGCGGTTGCGAAACAGCAACGGTGCTTAAGTGTTGTTTTGAACAACTACAAATAAATCAACTATTCTAACAACTAAAAATAGAGCCACTAACAGTAAACCCTACTAATATCTGTAGGCAATAACGAATGAAATTATTTGATCGCTCGCACTTTCGCATCACTTGATCAAACCACTTGGTTATCTATCAAATGGTTTGGAACCAATTGAACTGCCTCGTGTCAGTCCGCACTTTTGGTCCACCAAGTGCGCCATTAATTTGGGAGCGCGTTGTATAATCCATTCCACGGGACAATGTCCACCTTCTGTCTCTTAATTGCTTTATTTTACAAGGGTATCGACCTTGATCAACTAGTATTCGTCCTAGTCTACTGCACAAGTTCTATTGATTTTTTTAAATTCAAAATGACGAAAAAAATTCGAGTCTTAAGTATTTATTAGTATATATTTAGTATATATTAGACGAGATAAGGATCATTTATCGTACTAGGCCAGAAAGTCCTGCGCTGAACGCGTTGCGCTGGGATGTGGCGCCGACGGGGTATGAATGCGTTCAAGTATGTCCACTTGTGGCGACAAGCTCGCTCAACCCTTCACCAGGCATTGTTCAAATGCTCGGAGGCATCCATGAAAGCCAAAGAGAAGGAAAGTCGGTAGCTAAGAAGGGAGAGCAACAGACAACAGCCTGAGCCAACGAGGTTTTCATCGGCTAGGAGACCACTCAAGGTTAGATGGAATCAGAGTTGGGAGTTAAAAGCACTATCGGTAAAAGCCAATCCCGTGTTTTCGGGTTTATGAACTCGGCCTCTGCAATTTTGTAGGAAGCAAGTGCACGACACATCCAAGAAGTTTACTTTTACATCAGTTTTTCACCCACTTACCATTGAAAAGGCTGGCATTGAACTCTCTGGAATCCACTTACCAACTCTTTGTGATAAACGCTCGTGAAGGACAACCTGAGGACTGCGTAGCAGCCTGCTGACTGATCTCGAAGGTCATCCGAACAATGGGTTTCCTACCGAGTCAACAAACTAATTGCCACTAACCTGCTTCCACGTCGGACATTGTCCTCTCGACCATCAGCGGAAGGGATCCGGAGCATTCGCTGGATGTGACAATTTCTGCCAAGCTGGTCAAACGAATGGTTCCAAGTCTTGGCACAGGGCGGTGACTCGGTTTTTATGCGACGAAGACCATGCGCTGGCCTTGTGCCAGGCGCGGCGATATTCTCGCGCACGTTAAGTACACGCACAGAGAACCGGTAAGAAAACACGGACACTTCGAGACTCACAACGACCAACATTCGAGTAGCAGTTGATTACTGGGATCAGGGAGAGCTCAAAGCTTGATTGCTGCAGAGAAAGAGAGTAAATAATTAAAGATTGTCGCAGATTCCGTTTCATCGCTAAATTACTGATCATTTTTGGGCGGCTATTGACAATATATAGGGTTTTCTCAGAAGACTCATCATGTATGATCGACATGCCATTGTTGAAGAATCGTTCATCATTTTGCCAAGAGCTCTGAGGTATCCCTGAACTATGAGATGGTTCGGGATCCGTGAGATGAGGCAGGCCTTCCCAACCTTCAGTTCTCCATTTTCGAGTGCCAATCTGTCGCAAAACTGTAGCAGGACACGACTATGAAGGAAGAGTTTGACAACCTCTCAAAGGCAACTTCTCGGTGAATTGGGATGCCTCAATCAAAAAAAGTAGTTTCTGAACACCCGACACATCCTTTTTTCGATTTTACTGACAAGTTTCTTTGAAAATCAGTCTTAGCGCAGACTCTGAAATGACGTTGGTACAGAAAAGGCTATAATAGGGGCTATTTCTCTTTAGCAGGACCGTTTCTTAAGACATCAGAAGCATAAGTTCACCTTTTCTTGTTTACGGAAATGCAAGAAAAAGTGGCAAATGGTAGAAAGAAAAATCGGAAACACATACCAAACAACAAACAATACTTCAACCATACAAGTAAACAGCCGTAATTACTACACATGAACTGCTATTTGGAGCTACTATAGTGCAATTATAACAGTTACTAAGACCGTTCTTCCTCATTTGAGGCAGTGGGAACACTTCAATACAGGGAGGGCGGTTGGGAAGAAGGCAGTTGGGCCGTGGGTCGGGGCCATAAATCGAACGTCTGACCAAATTCGCGCCAGTCGATAGTTGACCCAAGACTTAACGAGTCTCGACAAGATAAACAACTTTAGTAGATGGTAAAACTGTGACGTAAACACGTTCGCACACAACTAAACTTTTTCAAGGACCTCCCAGATGGAATTCGCAATATTTTATTAGGAAGTAGCGTAGTGCCAAGTGAAGCACTATCACAAGCATGATCACGGGTTCGAATCCCGGATCGATATCGCCTGAGCCAACTACACCTTCCATCCCTTCGAGAAGTTTATTGGTACCAGCCTCGTTTGACAATGAATGAATTAACTAACTTCTATATCGGCTGGGTACCGCAATTCATTGCAGGCCTTAGCCGTACGTACTAAAGCGCCACTACGATTCTGGTCAAATTCGGAGTCCCAGGATATCTCAAGATCCATGGGGCCAGAAGGCTCGATCCCTCAACCCCATGCTTCATGGTGGTAATATTATCCCAATCAGAAATCAGGCACAACTCCCAAAGCAGATAAGTAGGCACGCTAATCATAAGTGGACGTCTACTATCCCATTCACTGAATCAACACTCATGGGCTCGCTCTCTAAATAGTGTCTGGAGACGACATTAATATTTTATGGCACAGGTGCCGTGGACGAAAATCATTATAAAAAGGATGGATGAAGAGAGAATGGAGCCCTGCCACCTGAGAACTGCTAATGGGAACTGGAAGTCTTACAAGCTAACTTTACCCTGAACTTTTTTTGGTTTTTTTTTGGGAGGGAGGGAAGAGGAGGAGGGGAGGACAGAGAATGTAGTGACTTTTGCATAGATAGTTCCTCTTGTCATATTCCCATGCCGTTCTTTCTTTTCGCTAGATTTTCATCCATTTTGATTTCTTCTGTACTGTGGCTCATCCGGGTCCTTACCTGCATATCTTAATGCTTTTACCTTAAAAACGACTGTTACAAAGATACCCAAATGAGCAAGAAATATGTAGTAACCAGTAAGCGTGATCGTATCAGTTCTTCTTTGAGCAATTCACTGAGTGCTGTAGGAATCATTATTTGGATCTCTGAGCTTGATGCAAGCCCAACGTCCACGTAGAAGTGGCAAACCGCTCGAACGGAGAAACCTTCGACCAAAGATCCCGACCGCAAAGCGCTCGTTTGGCTTATTCGTTCCTCATGACGTTCGGCCGTTCGTCGGTGGTTGTGTCAGCTGGTGCCATGCACATACTTAAGCACGACCATTTCACATTTGCTCATATCCCTTTCTCAACAGACGAAACTCGACACGAAGAAAGATCAGCCACTCATGGAAAGATCAGCTTTGGCTCTTTGGCTTAGCGTATTTCTGCAGCTTGGAAGGGACGCGCTCAAGGCTTCTATTCCCATCTCTCACCACTCTACGGACATTCCCCGCTTTTGTATTAACGCATGTCTGATTTCCCAACTCTAAGTGAGGTGGGCGAGTTCGTGAGGGTAGAAGCTAGCCAACATCGTAGCTCGAAAACAGTAAACGGAATCAGTGTTAGTAGATAGCCGTTCCGCTCAAGCCAAACCGCCCATCTTCACGACTATCTCATTCCTTGATAAACGTAATGTAGGCGTGGTAACATGAGAGCTCAGACGGCGTGACAAATCGTGAGTCATCCCTTTTGATCAAGCCTTTTGTGTATAAGTGACTTAAAGGACTGTATTTTTAAAATGAAAATTCTCGAAACTGAAGGTTCTAAAATTTGAATTGGACCCTCTGTAAAACGAGGGTTACTTTAGGGTTACCCTTGCACTTACTTGACGGTTTTCCCGACCGTTTTCTCAAATAAAATCCCCTCGATTCGCTATAATTGGAGACGGCATTGTGTAATAACAGACAGAGTGAAGTATTCTTTACTGTATATACAATATCTTTGTAATCTCGATAAGAACCGTTCATGTCGAAGAAAAACAGATATAGCGACTCATCACCATCCGAGTGCCATCGACGCGCCATACTGGCAGCTGCAACGCCAAGTCATTGCCTCGATTGGCACCAGGCGGCAAATCAATATTTATGCATAACATGGCAAAAGGAAACGGGTTGAAATATTAGAATATCACTGACCGGGTGAAGATAGACACAGCATCAACGCGTAGTTTACATCGCAGTAAACTCGTACAAGTAAAAAAAAACTGATAATATCAAGAAAAATCGATAGCTTAACTAATATGTAGTGAAAGACAGCCCAGTGCACTTATTACTACAAAATTTAATACTACAAAAGGTACTGAACTACATCAGTTCTTTGAGAGAACATTGTACAAACCTTTCCTGGCTATGTCAACCCAAAGAATATCTGCTCGAGCTCCGACTTCCCGAACAAACTTCACGATTTTGCTCAAAAGGACAACTTGTCGACTAGTCGTTGAATCGATATCCACGTTTATGTAGGACTTGCTTCATGTATTCGATCTTTTTGACGTCTTCAATTGAAAGGCCATCAGCTTTCGTCTGAAATGACTCTACATCCCCTACTGTTTTCTCCTTCCTAAATATCTTTTAAATGAAGAGAAAGTTAATTTTGAGAAACCAAAGGGAACCCAGATAAGAATTTGAAGAAGAAATTCGAGCTCAGACCTGAAGATATAGTGCCCATTTATAGTCCATTACTCGATAAATCTACGAAATAGTTACGGATTTCTATTAGCTGCTTATTCAATTAGGTATAGGGCAGCGCCTAGAGGCGGTGCTGCGCTAAGTGCTTTGCTAGATCGATTCCAATAAAGAAAATGTGATTCTCTATCGCTGGTCGCTTGTGGGTGAACACAGACAATCGATAGTGTAAAAAAAGTAATTCAATGAGTAATTCAATGACAATGCTCTGTCTAATGGCTATTGTTACGTTGAATGAAGCAACAGAGTAAACAATGAAGGTGAGCGACTTGTTTATGGTTGTGTTGAGATATTAGCAACAACCTATAAAGAATAAAATTCCTTGATCCAAGCTGCTGAAAAACTCCTGCCCTTCCTGGACTGCAGAAAATCCACCCGGATTTTACAATAGGCTCGGTCATGGGCAAAAGCTTCGGTCTTGGGAGAACTTGTAGTTAGGGGATGACAAATGGGTTTTCGGTAGAGGCCAAATTCAGCCAAAAAGCCCCGTCGCATTACAATTTTACTGAGTTATTTATCATACCAATGTGATTCTGTTTCCTTCGGCATCAAGAATATCCTCGGGTTCCTGCTCGACAAGTCGACATCTGAGGCTCGGCTTTGAAAGGATCAGTGCTGCCATGTACTTGTAATGCGATTCGATGTCGGTCAACATATACTGAGCTATGCCTTCGTCGAAGATCTAAAAAAGGAAG